TATTATGGGATACTGTGGTCTGAAGGTTAACGCATCACCAAATCATAGACTCTCAGAATTGGAAAGGACCTCATCTAGGTCAGCCCATGCTATGCTCTGGGGAGGAAGTTGAGTTGGCATAGGCCAGATCAAACTCCAGAGGGAAAAACAGAGAAAAATGGATTCTGTGCACCTGTGCATAATTGCTCAAAAGCCTAACATGATTCCCCTATTTTCTTTCTTTCTTCTTTTTTTTCTTTTTTGCTTTTTGGTGAGGCAATTGGGGTTAAGTGACTTGCCCAGGATCACACAGCTAGTAAGACATCCCCTATTTTCTTCCTGAATAAAGTACAAACATCTTAGTCTGGCATAGGAAGCTCTCCAAAACTGGCTCCAGTCTACCTTTCCAGAATCATCTCTCACTATTCTCATCTACATACTCAGTACTCCAGCCAAAACTGGAACTGTCACATTGTTGTGCTGCCCTTCCAGATCTCTCTGACTCTACTCACCTTTCCCCTGCCATCCCTCTCCTGTTGAACTCCCTTCTTTCCTTAGGATAATAGAGCTACAGCTGAAAAGGACCTCAGAGGCCATTCAACTCAAGCCCTTCAGTTTTCACAGGGAGGGTAAGTGACTTGTTCAAGGCTGCAGAGGTAGTCAGGATCAGAGATTGAGCCTTGAAGGTCCAATACACGTTGCAATCTTACCACATTTCACACCCTCATTTTGAAGTGATCTCCTCTCCCAAATCTCTTGTGGTATTTTGGCCCCTCTCTTTGCACTTGTCATTTAAATTATATGATGGTCATTTAACATGATACATATGAGGTTTGGGGAGACTATACTCAATCTTTTTATTCTTATTTTCATTTCTAATTTCTCTCCCTCCCTCCACCCCTCCTCCTCTCATTGAGAAGGCAAGAAATATAATACTCATTATACATATGAAGTCATGCAAGCCATATTTCCACATTAGCCATAACATGTTAAATATGTTTTATCTCCCCATCTGACTGTAAATTCTTTCATGGAGGGATTATTTCTGACTTCATCTTTGTATCCTGGACATAGAATCCTGTTCAGAGTAAGCGCTTCATAAATGTTTATCAAATTGAACTAAATCAGATGAATGAGAATGCATGTGGATGTTTTACCTTCTGACAAAACAGAAGAGTTGGGGAACATTTCTTTGTGTCCTGGGACTTCCAAATCTTTGTTGGTTGAAGTACTGAAATTCTATATGAAAAATTGGAAACTTAGAAACATAATATCCCTTGAGCCCCCATTTCATCTCATACTATTTTATGAGCAGAAGCTTCTATTCCTTGTTTTCTCTATCCACTCAAAGCATTTCTTCATCCCTGAAATAGTTATGGTGTAGAGGGGACTTTCATTCTTCCCCTACCTCCCTGACATGTCAACTGAAATCTAACTGGTCTTATTATTGCCCTTTTAAGATGCCTTGGGCAGCTAGATGGCTCAGTGGTGGAGCACTGGGCCTGGAGTCAGAAAGACCTGAGTTCAAATGCAGCCTTAGACACTAGCCGTGACCCTGGGCAAGCCATTTAACCTCTGTTTGCCTTACTCCACTGGAGAAGGAAATGGCAAACCACTCCAGTATCATTTCCAAGAAAACCCCAGGGGTAGCATGGTGCACTAAGTCTACTCTGCTTGTCTGGAAAGCTTTCATAGGGTCATAGTTCAAGAGGTAAAAGGGAACAGAGACACCATGTAGTGCAACCTTTTCATTCACAGATGAGGAAACTGAGGCCAATGAGGTTGTGACTTATCCTATGTCACACAGACAGTTGTCAGAGGTAGGGTTCGAACCCCGATCTTCTGATTCCTGAGCCAATATTATTTTCACTGAACTACTTATGTTTTCCACCTATTCAAATCCCCCTTATCCTTTAAGGCCCTACACAGGTCTGATTCCAGCCTCTTTTAGACTTTCCCCACCACCTGTACCCACCAGTATTTCTCCTTTCTCTCAACCCCTCTAAACATCTGTTATCTCATCCTCTCATTTGACACTTGGACTGTTGGTCACCTTTGTCTCTTTATTTGTCTTATCTCCCCACCTAGACTGTAATACGTTCCCTGAGGGCAGGTAAGGACCTATTCTTTGCCTCTATACATCTCTATCCCCCTTGTTGTTGTTCAGTCCTGTCTGACTCTTTGTGACTTTTTGGAGTTTTCTTGGCAAAGATACTGGAATGGTTTGCCATTTCCTTCTCCAACTCATTTTCCCAATGAGGAAACTGAGGCAAAGAGGATTAAGTGACTTCCCCAGGGTCACACAGGTAGTAAGTATGTGAGACTAGCAAGTGTCTGAAGTCAAGTCTTCCTGACTTCAGGCCCACTCTGCCACCTAGCTGCCCACAATCATCCCCCTAGTAGATAGTAATCTCCCAGGAGTCGGGGACCTTGTCCTTGTCTGTTTGAATCCACAGTACTTTGGGAAATAAATATTTGTTGAATTGGACTTGTGTCTTCTACAATGCCAATATATCACTAAGTACTATACAAGGTCTTTTTAAAATTACCTTTCTTCCACTTACAACATGGTGAGGAGAGAAGGGAGAGACTAGCCAGAGACAGAGTGAGAATTTATGAAGTGATACGTGCCAGGCACTGTACTAAGAGCTGAAAATACAAATACAACCTGTAAGCATGGCAGTCCCTGCTCTTAAGGGGCTTACACTCTAATGGGAGAAGACTACACATAAAAAGGAAATGGAAAGGGGGTGAGGTGCTATAAAAGGGGCACGGTGGTATAGGACAGGCCAGAAGTACCATCAGGGAGACATTAAGGAGGCCCAGGCCCAGGCAAAATAAGGCAAAAGCAGACTTATCAGAGCTGGAGGGCTCATTGACTAGAGTCCAGGTTACTAGCGGAGAGAAGGTAGAAGTTATGGTCCAAGTAGAAGTGGGACCCTATTCTTCTGCTGGCTGCCAAGCCTTCTGAACTCCTCCATGGAACCTTGTTTGGGGGTGGGATAACCGGGTTCTACACTTTTTCTTTTCCAATTCTCCTGCGTGAGAGGGGAAATGTGTACTGGAAGAAGGTCTGGGTTTAGAGAGTAAGGTGAAAGGCTGATGGTTTTTAGAGTAGGAAGCAGTCCTTTACGTCTCTATTTCATCCTCCATCACCCTGCCCCCGCCTCCTCCCTCCTCCGTCCCTCCCCAGCTTCCTTTCCCGACCAAGAAAAGGGTTGAGGAGAGGGAGGAGGATTCAAGGCGGCATATGATCTTGGAGAAGGGGCGCTTCTCCGTTCAATCAGGAGAACGGTGGGGGAGGGGGAGGGAAATCGGGAGTTCTGGACGTATTTTCCTTGATTGAGTCACCTGTGGACCCTGCTCTGCTCTCTTGCCCTTCATGATCCCCTTTTAACGAAGTGTGAAAATCAGGGACTAAAACGCGGGGCTCTAGAAGCTTGTGAGGAACCTTGAGCAGCTAAGGCTCGCAGAGAAAGAGGAGGCATCTTCCCTGTCTCCTCTTGCAGCCTTAAGAGAATCTGTGCGGGGGAGGGCCTGGGGGTGTTTAGGCTGAAGGTGTTGGAGGATGTAGAATTCAGCCCTTAATGCCGTGTGTGTGTGTGTGTGTGTGTGTGTGTGTGTGTGTGTGTACATGCGCGCGAGTCTCAGCGTGTGGCGGAGAAAACCACTGTGTGTGTGTATATGTGTGTTAGTTTGAATGTATCGGGGAGCCTGTGAGTATATGTGATTGTGGGGATGTCAGTCGACGACTGGCGGAGCGCTCGGCAGGCGCACAGAACATGACACCTTTTTTCTTTTTCTCAACTACACCTTCACCCAGCCCTTCCCCCAGCAGCCCCAAGGCTCTCAGCTCTTTTCAGCTCAAATTCTGATCTGTCACAAACTGCTCCAATCCTAGGGAAATGACTGTTCCCCTTTGGTGACTCAGTTGCTGACCGATGGGTTGCGCTCCCCATTTTCCCAGTACAGGGGCGTTGGGCGGCACTCTTCTGCTCCCCCACCCCAGTCTGGAGGATTGATCCCGCCGCTTGAGGTGTCTGAGCTACACCCCCACCCCCAGGCCCTTGGAGGGAGCAGGCAAGGAGCGTGAGGGGGTGGGACTCAGGCGCCCTGCAGTGCAGGCAGAGGGGCTGAGACTCTAGGATCTGGGATTGGAGCTGCTCAGTGCCAGTGGCCCCCCACGAGTTGCACCCGCCCCCCGCCCCCAGTTCCACAGCCGCCGTCTCAGCCCCGGCAGAGAGGGAGGAGGAGTCGATCCTCCGCTCTGATCCCCCAGTGGGGCGCTGGGCGCCTCTCTCCTGTCCCGGAGCCCTCCTCGAGTTCCAGAGGAGACATTACCATGGAGAGTCCGACGCTATCCTGACCCCCGAGGCTATAAAACCCGGACACCTGGCGGGGTGGCTTCAACTGCTCTTGAGCCAATTAATCCCCCAAATAACTGGCGCCCCAGTGTGGCTTCCCTCTCCACCTCCCTCCCCCCCCCCGAGTGGGAGGAAGAGCAGCGGCGGCGCCGGCAGCCTAAGGAGCAGCGCTGGAAGAGATCCCATCGCCTCCACCGTTGTTTCGGCAGGGAAACTAAGAAGGCTGGAACGCTAGAAGCTGTCACCTGAATAGCTACGAGAGGGCCCCCAGGTATGGGACTGGGAAACACCTGGGCGCAGGAAGAGTAGCGGGGAGCCCCAGACGGGGGAGCCCAGGACCTGTAGTTACCGTCTACTGGACAGCCAGGTGCTGGCTCCAGAGAGTAGCGTGGAGCAGAAATATCCACGCGTGAAGGCTGGGAGCCAGAGAAGTAAAGATCGTAGATAAGGGGTCCAAGAGCAGCGAGGGGCAACCCCCCCACACACCAGCAGGACAGCAAGCAGCAGGAACCCCAGAGAAGGTCTTCAGCTTCGTGGGAAACCCAGGACCTGCAGCTGGAGTCCTTAGGACATCTGGGCGGCAAGCCCAAAACGCAGGAGCAACAGCTCTGGCCAGGGCCACCCACGCGTGGAGCACCGGCACCAGGCCCGAGGCCCAGCCTTGACCATTTCTAAGTGAGACCCAGGAGTAGCTCCAGGGCAGTGGAGCCCACCTCCTCAGGCGCCAAGGCCGAGCGCAGCTGAAGAGACCGAGGGTATGTTGAAGCCAAAGGATCTGTGCCCTCGGGCGGGCACTCGTACTTTTTTGGAGGCGATGCAAGCTGGCAAGGTACACCTGGCGCGTTTTGTCCTGGACGCCCTGGACCGTAGCATCATTGATTGTCGGGCGGAGCAGGGGCGCACGCCTCTCATGGTGGCGGTGGGGCTACCAGACCCCACGCTCAGATCCCGCTTCGTACGGCTGCTGCTGGAACAGGGCGCGGCCGTGAACCTGCGAGACGACAGGGGCCGCACGGCGCTGAGCCTGGCCTGCGAGCGGGGCCACCTGGACGCGGTGCAGCTGCTGGTGCAGTTCAGCGGCGACCCAGAGGCGGCAGATTCGGCGGGCAATAGCCCAGTGATGTGGGCCGCCGCGTGTGGCCACGGCGCCGTGCTCGAATTCCTGGTGCGCTCTTTCCGCCGCCTTGGCTTGCGCCTCGACCGCACTAACCGCGCGGGTCTCACAGCATTGCAGCTCGCGGCCGCCCGAGGCCACGGGCCTTGCGTCCAAGCGCTCACAGGGCCCTGGGGCCGTGCTGCCGCTGCAGCGGCGGCCCGCGCCCGGGGCTCTACCTCGGACAGTCCCCCGGGCCGGCCCAGTGCTGCGCCCAGCCCTGAGCGTCGCCGGCCTAGCCCCCGCCGCCTTCCGCGGCCCCTTTTGGCCCGCTTCGCCCGGGCAGCTGGCGGCCATGGGGGTGAAACAGGCATCGGGGGCAAAGGCTCGGGCCGACAGAGATCGTTGGGCAACGAGCGGCCTGAATTTGGCCGCAGCATGAGCTTGGCGCTGGGCTCGGTGACCGAGGAGGAGGCTGCGCGGGTCCGGGCAGCAGCTCAGCTCCCCCAGCCAAATTCCCCTCAGGCCTCGGGCACCGGGAGGTGGCGCTCGCAGGAGCTACTGGAAGGCAAGGCTCTGACCCTAATCAAGGCTCCTGGTGGGCTCACCCCCCATCCTGAGGGCGGCCCTGGGAGAGGCCGTCTCGGTCTGCGCCGCCGTTCTACTGCGCCGGACATCCCCAGCCTAATGGGGGAGGCGCAAGGGTCAGACGGCGGGCTGGAGCAGGAGCTTGACTCGCTGCCCCTCACTCTGCCTGGCCAGCAGACCCCTTGGCAGGGGGGTACCGAGGCAGAAGCAGTGGTCTTGCAAGCCCAGCGGTGAAGAGGCCCGAGGGCGCTTCACCAAGATTCCCCAAACCCAAATTCTCCTGTGCTGGATCCATGCAACAACCCAGTTCCTCCTCTTCCCTATTGACCCTCCCACCTCTGCAAGGGCCAGAGTTGCTCTCTCGTTCTTACAGGGCCATCCAAATTTCCTGTGTCTCCCGGGTCTGCTTCTCCACCCCTGGCATCCACCAGAGTAGCCAGAGTAGCCTGTGGCCTCTGAACAATCCCTCTGAGGGGTTTGCACTATTCTCCTCTCCCCTCCCCCATCGTCCCCGTTGTTTCCCCCATCGCGACCCCCGTCCTTGCCCTCCTTTCCATTTCGTTTAGATTTTCCTCCTCCATCCAGTGGGCCAGCTCTTCCCTTTCCTTATCTTCCCCGTGCACTAAAAGCAAGTAGAAGAAAAACTGGTACCCAACAGACTCGGGGCCCACGGTCTATATGAACCTAAGGGTGTAGTAGCTTTGAAAGTCTTAGCCTGTTAGTGAGACCTAGAATCATAGATTGTTAAATCTGAAAAATATCTTAGAGTGCATTTGCTCCAACCTGTTCATTTCATAAATGAGAAAACAGGGACCCAGAAGAAATCAAGAGACTCTCCCAAGGTCATACAGGTAGTAACTAGCCAGATATCAAACCGAAGGCTCTTTATTCCCTAATCCATTGCAGTTTCCCATTACACCTTGCTGCTTCCCTAACCTTTAGCGTTCATTTTTGCAAACGGTAGAAATGCCAATACATTCTCTGTGCTGCAACCATAGCATCTTGAGGGATGAGAGAATACTTTCTCAGAATGCTGGCAGCCATCTGCCCCAGGTGATTGCAAGCTTGCTCCAGGTATGTCTATGACACAGTCCTTTCTCTCCCTGCACCAATAGTGATGATGCCCCAGTGCCAGGGCAAGGGGAGAGCAAAAGGGGGGGGGCGGTCCGGAAACCTGAGGAACAAAAGGATCCTTCATGAATTCTGTCACTTATTATGAGTCTTTGGGAATGAGGGAGAAAACTATGTGTTTAATTACTATGAAAGGGTATTTTCCCCCAAAAGCAGTCCGATACGAATGAAAAACAGCTGGTTAGGAATCTTTGCTATTGTCCTCTAATGTCCCTTATGCCATAGGAACATAGGTTTAGAACTGCTGGGGGCCGTAGGGGCCATCAACTCCAACCCCTTCATTTTACAGATGATTAAACTGAGACCCAGGTTGATTGGCTTGTTTAGGGGCAGATAGCTAATAAGTATCAGAAAGGAGTTCTGCACTCAGGTCTCTCTGACTTCAAGTCTAGTGACCTATCTCCCAGGGTATGCTGGGTGCAGTAGTCCTAGGTTCTAAGTGGGATCTGACTGGGGGGGCGGCGCTACCAGTTACAGACTATCCTGAGTACCTTTCCAAACTTTTCTGGCTCTCTTCCCCCAAAACATCCATATCCTAGCTATTGAACAGCCACCACGGGAAAACAACTAAACCTCTTTTAGTTTCCATTGGGTCTAAATCGAGTTTTTGAGGTAAGGAATCCAAAGGTTTATGACAGTTACTCTCATTTCCCCAAGTCTTCCACTTCACTGTTTCCACTTAATTCTAAGACACTTCAAGGGGAAATGTTTCCTTAGTGCTCCCCCACCTCTGTGCCCCAAACTCCCCCTCTCTCACCATCTGCACAGAAGGTGTTCCCATAGGTTTGTGCTTTAGATATGGGCTTGCAAGGCTTTGGCTTAATTTTTCCCTTTGCTTTCAAATAACTGCCATTTGGAGGCTTTGTACATACAGCAGAAAGCAGCAGGCTTGATTTGAGGTTTAAGAACCTTGACAATATCTCTCTAAATAGAAGCTCTGCGAGGGAGATAATTGACTGAAGTGTTTGTGATGTTAAACTAAGAAGCAGTGAAGCTGGAAGCCCACACTAACTGCAGGTCCCCGTTTAAATTACATCAAACTCCCGCAAGAGCTAGAAGGAAGCTGCTAAAAAGTCTGCAGCTTCTAGCTGGGCTGTAGATGGAGGGTAGAGTGATGATGGATGCTAGAAGCTGACCCCCACCAGGGAACCAACTGGTTATGCCATTCTGACCCCCACCTCATCACCACCCCCGTGGGACGGGGTCCAATTTCATCCCCATTACCGACAGATTAGTGAGTCAGAAGCAACTGCCAAGAGGTAGTTAAAAAGTTCTTTTTCTCCTCTTCCCTCCTCATTCCTCCTCCTTCTTCTCTCCTGCTTCCTCCCTCCTCCTTCACTCTTCACCCTCTCTTTTTGTTAGCCTAGACTAGTGGGCCTGTGTTTATATGCAGGCACTAGGACCCTGTAGAAGCTCCAGGGCTTCAAGAGAGACTTTGCAGATGGAATTTTTGCTACCAGGCTGAGGAGAAAGGTTTGTGGGTGGGTGGGTGGGGGTGGGTGGGGGTGGCAAGGTCTTTTTCTGAGTATAGATTTGGGAATACAACCTCCACCCTTGGGTTGGGATTTTCTAGAAATCCGTGCTCCTGGTGGAGAGTGTGACGATTTTCACCTCAGAGTTTCTGAGGTGGAAAACTGTTACCAAGGAGAATTAGCTTGTGGTGGGGGAAAGGAGATTCTGATCTCTCACCCTGAACCAGCAGAAGGAAAGGGGTTGAGGAGGCATCTCTTCTGTACTGGTCCCTTTGCTTCTTCTGGAATTCTTTTATTCCCCCTCCTGGCCCCTTGTGCTCCAGTCACCCTTGGAGGGAGAGAGCTGGGTCTACTTTCCAGAAGGAAGGCTTCCCACACCCCAAATACCATTTGCTCTGTCTCCAGGAACCAGGCCAACCACAGAATACCGTCCTCAAGATGGTGGTGCCTAACCTTCTTCTGCCCTACCTAGCCCCACTCAGGATCTGATCTCTGACGCCCCCTAGTGGCTGACATGTTCCCCTTCTCTACTTGGCCTCAAGGATTCAGTTTAAAGATTTGAAAGGATTGATTATAGACTACAGAGGCAGAGCGGGAAGGGACCTTAGAGTCATTTAATCCAATCTCCCTCATTTACAGCTGAGGAAACGGAGATCCAAAGAAATCAAGTGACTTGTTCAAGGTTACATAGGTGGTGTATGATGGAGCAAGGATTTGAACTAAGGTCTTGAACCACTCCATGGATGATTTTTTCATCCCTCACCCACTGGATGTCGTAATGTCTATGAATCTTTTTTTCTATTCTTGGGGAAGGGGAATGTCAACCAGCTACTTGAAAACATTTTTGTTGTGGTGAAATGAGGGCTCAGAAGAGTCCCTCTAATCTATTGAGGGGGCCCTGGGGACACAGAACCTTTGACAGGATATCATGGACATTGTGTGTGTCTCTGCTTCCTGATTTTTCTTGCCCTCCTACTACAAAAATTGCCCTCCTTTATAACTTGTAACATATCAGCTTCAATTTTTGGAGTGGTTCAAGTTGGAGAATGTAGCTTCCCACTCAGTTTCCTCCTCTGAAGTTGGGGTTTCCAGTTCCTCTCTCCAATCCCCCCCCAAAAAATTTTGCCAGCTTCTTTCTGGACCTTGGTTGTATCTCAGAATCGTCTCAGGGGGTGGGAGAATCACACAGCTCAATTGCAAACTGCTTCCTTCTGCTACTTACTTACTAAACTGCTCCCTTTTTTATTTTCATATCTAGTGCAAGAATACATTTTTTTGGGTCTCATCTTTAATACACAGCTAAGCTTGGCCAAGCACATTGTCCCAGGAGCTGACCCAGTCTTTCCCATAGTAGCAGACATGTAGCTTTTGGGTCAAATGCCACCTTGACCTTGGCTGACTGGGTAAGCAAGGGTACCTGCTAGTCTCACAGAGTTGCCAAGAGATTGCTTGATGAAAGTGATATTTCTCAAAAACCACAGCAGGTCCTTCCTGTGTGTACAAAACTGTGTGTGGAGCAGACTTGTGTGTCTTACTTGTGTAACATGTATGGCTGGCTTGCTTTCCCTACAGCTTTGTGCTATGCCATAGCCCTGCTTGGAACTTGTCAAGGTCACCACAGTTTGGCATCCAGAAGCTCTCCTCTCTGCAGGTCAAAGGTTTCCAGACTGGAGCTAGACCATCTCCCTGACCCTGTCTCCTTTAGGGCATCATTCTCAAGCTGGCTGGCCCAATGTAGTGGGGCAGATTCCCCCAAACTGTTTTGCTTTCCAAACTATACTGTTTTCATTGTAAACTCATCTAAATCCCTGGGGCTTGATGTCCCAAAGTGGTTCTAGGTATTGATCTGTCTGTGGGAATAAGTGACTCATCCATACCCTTTTGGAAGAAGAGGCTGTTTTGTAGAAAGAAGATTAACTCAAAATAATAGTTAATAAATCCAGTATTATTCAATTGAGGAGATTGGCCTGTTTTATTCTCTTCGGCTCAGCTGCTGAAAAGGAATTTCCTTGTTACTTTTGGAGAAACAAAGTAGCCCTCTTTTTAACACTCCTCATGTGGAGGGTTTCAGGGGTAGGGTTTGGGGGAGGGGGAGGAAAAGAGAGGGAAAGAGGGAGTTTACATAACTCTCTGACCCCTGGGTACCTGTTCGGTTGTCTGAAATCTCAGTGGGGAAAGTCAACGTATGACAATTTTATTGCTAGAAGGGACCTTAAAGGTTAATAATAGTCAAGTCCCCCTGATCCGTACAGATGAGGAAATATCTCCAGATATTTACAAAAGGTGAAATAACTTAACTCAGTGGCAGAGTCAGAACAGGAACTGAGTCCAGTCTTTTGTTGATTTCTATGTAACTGACCCATTATGTTTCTGAGTCCACTGACTTTACTTTTTTGCCCTTGTTAATATCCCAAGGTGGAACACCCGCCACTCAATGTTCAAGGCTGCTCATCTAAAACTCAGGTTAGGAGGACCTGCATTTGAATTCTGCCTCAAGCACAGTCAATTAACTTTTCAGGACCTCAGTTTTCTGATCAGTAAAATTGAGGGAACTGGATTTGATGGCCTGAAAAGTCCCTTCTAGCTCTAAATCTGTAAGCCTACAAACTTGGTGGATAAACTTACGAGAAATGCCTGAGAGTCAGAAAGGTTAAGTAACTTGTCCATGGCCACTCAGACAGTAATGATAATAACAACAAGAATAACTAACATATATAGCACGTACTATGTGCCAAGCACTGTGCTGAGCTCTTTACAAATATATTCTCATTTGATTCTTACCACTCCTCTAGGAGATAGGTCCTATTGCTATCCTTATTTTACAGATAGAAATCTAAAGTTAAGTGACTCGCCCAGTGTCCCACAGCTAGTAAGTGTCTGAGGCTGAATCTGAACTTGGGTCTTTCTGACTCCAGGCCCAGAGCTCTATCCACTGGGCTACCTAGCTGCAGAGTCACCTCACTAGTAATAACAATGATAATGATGAATATTTACTATGTGTCAGGCACTATGCTAAGCACTTTTCAAACACCTCAATCCTCATAACAACCCTGTGAGATAGGTGCTATTATTACCCCCATTTTACAGATGGAAAAACTGAGACAAATAGAGGTTAAGTGACTTATCCAGGGTCCCACAGTTAGTAAATATGTGAGGCCAGATTTGAACTCATGTCTTCTTAACTCCAGGCCCAGCACTCTACCCACTGAGCCACCTAGCTAACAGAGATTAGAGGGGGGATTTGAAAGTCAGACTCCAGGTCTAGCCCCTTTCGATATGTCCTGATGTCTGAGTCTTTCTCTTAAAATAACCTAATTTGATGGAAACAGCTTCAGACTGCAACAGAAAGGGAAACAACACTTTGACTTCCCATGGTTCCTCTTCTAGTTGTAGGGCTAGCCCACACTGAGTGTCAACGAGAGCGGTACAGAGGGTAACCACCTCCCAGAGGAGCAGCTGGCAAGGCCCTGTGGTAAATTCAGCTTCCTACGTGGGCTTTCTTGATCTGAGACTCAGCTATTTAGGGGAAAACACTCTGGACACAGGTTCCAAGGCAGGCCATTCACTTTGTCTCCCTCTGCTAAAATTTCAGATCCACATTAGATGACAAAGCTCTTCTGAGGCCAACCCAACCCAAGGGAAACCAGTGAGCGTGAAAAGGAGACACCGAATGTTTGCCTCGGACCTCTCCTGGGCAGAGCAATGTCAGTTCAGTCTGACTTTCCAGGAAAATGGGAAGAACACAAGCTTTGAACTTAAGAACACCCATTTTAATTTAAAACAGGAAACAAGTGCAAACAGTTCACAAAAGTTCTCTAGGAAGGGTGATCAGTTTCCAATTCTGACCTAAAAAAACAAAAAGACTTTGCCATCTTGCTCAAAAACGGGTTATTGGGAAACGCTGGAATCAGAAAAATCCCTTCTGGGTGGGGAAGGGATCCGATAAAACTGTTTCTTGGAGATCCCTGCCTTCAACAGCCCTGATGATGGGAGCTCCCAGCCTAGGACTGTGCCCTGGGCAAAGGAAGTGCTGCTTTAGTATTTGTTGGCTTTGAGCTGAAGTGCCTAAGGAAACAGATGAAAGTAAATCCTTCTGAGAATCTCACCCCTGCGATGGTCTCCATGGGGGGCTGAAATGAGACCTTGAAGGCCTTGAACCATGATGGTTTGCTTACCTGGGGGGCCATGAGAGAAGGGGTTCCATTTGTGAAATTCACAGGTAAAACTAAGTTCCAGCTACCTGACCATTGCTTTCTGCCCACTCTTGGCTCTGGCCTTATGAAACCCGAGGGCCCTCCACAAACAGATAGACAAACTTCTGAAAAGACCCCAAAAGTTGAGTCACCTAGCCTCCACTAGGCTTAAATACAGATGTACCAGGGACCTAGTTTGGACTTAGAGGCAAAAAGGACAAAGTCCCTTAGGAACTAAATTATTTGGGAATGAGGATGGGGCTGGTATGATCCTGGCTTTGGGATCTAACCAGGGCCCAAAGCTCCCTGAATGCTCCCTCTACTCTTAGAGGGAGGCATCCCTTTGTCCCAGGGAACATGCTCTCCTGAGACAGTTTCCCACTGAAAATGTCTTGTTTTCAGCTGAAGGTTGATTCTGTTTCTGGCCCAGAGCTAGAGCAGCACCCAGATTGTAGGGGAGGATGTATGCAGAGCCAGAAAACAGATTTAGGTAGCATATCCATGTCCTTCCTGACCCTCTATCCCTAAGTAGCTGAGGCATAAGGGAGGGAAATAGGTCTTCTGGTTATAAAATCTTTCCCTGGACAAGTTCCTCCCCGAGACACATATGATTTATGTTTGGTGGACTAGAACACATGGTTTTGGTGTAATGCTCGTAAGTCCCCACATGAAGGTAAGAGTTAGGAAGAATTGGCTCTCACCTTGGAGCCTGGTAGGCCTTGTATAAGACTATTCTGGTCTTCGGGGTTCCTCAGAAACAGTTCTGTACAAAGAATTGGATATATACTGGAGAATTCCCAAAATGTCATCCTGACAAGAGTTGTCTCAGTAATTCCAAAGACAACCAGTGTCTCTCTTAGGAGAGAGAGGGAGGTGAAGGGGAGGGGGAGCCAAGGGGAGAAATCCTAGTTGGCACACTGGACCAAAGGTTAATGGGACCGGGGTGGGTTGGGGGGATCATTTCACATTCAGTCTTTGGAGAAAATACTGAGATGATGCAGGCACTGTTCCTAGCCTGCCTGGAAGGCTGCTGGTGCTTCCTGTGTCCAGTGTCCCCAGGCCCGCAGGGCCATGGAGGCTGATGGACACCGCTAGTAGGCTCAGCAGGTAGAGGTGCGCTTTCGGTAGAGCTGAATCAGAGGCACCAGACACTCAGGAAGCCCTGTCTGCAGCAGGAAGGGGTGGTCTAGCAGCTCCTGGGCGGTAGCTCGATCCAGGGGGTCTCGAATCAGCATCCTCTCCAGGAAGTCTCGAAGCACTGGGGAGGTCTGTGGAGATGGAACAGAGTGAAGTACAGGTAGAGGATTGTAGATCAAGAAGAAAGAGGGACCTTAGAAGTCATCCAGTCCATTTCACAGATGAAGAAACCAAGGCTTAGGGAAGTTAAGTGACTTGTCCAAGGTCACTCAAATATTAAGTGCCAAGGTGAGGTTTGAACCCAAGTTCTGTGGCATTGTTCTTACCACTGTGCCAGTGCCAGAGCCAGATCAAGGAGGCTGTGTTCCTGTCTGCGAAATATTTTGTTGCCCCTTGGTGCTACCCCCCTCCAATCTCCACAGAATACCCACCTTGATGTTGGAATGAGGATGTTTCTCATACTAGGTAACCCATTTCAAACAGGCTTCAGTTATAGTTAAGTTAAATGGGTCAAACGAACCTTTTTTTTTTTAGGCAATTGGGGTTAAGTGACTTGCCCAGGGTCACACAGCTAGTAAGTGTCAAGTGTTTGGTCTGAGGCCACATTTGAACTCAGGTCCTCCTGACTTCAGGGCTGGTGCTCTATCCACTGTGCCACCTAGCTGCCCCAAAATGAACCTATTTTTCAAAGACAGCTGGTGGCACAGTGGATAGAAAGCTGATCCTGGAGTCAGGAAGATGTAAGCTGAAATCCAGCCTCAGCTACATACTAAATGTGTGACTCTGGGCAACTTTAGCTTCATTTGCCTCACAGTATAATGAGAATAATAACTCCCACCTCCCAGGGTTGTTGTGAGGATCAAATAAGGTAATATTTATTAAAGTGCTTAGCATAGTACCAAGCACATAGTAGGAGCTATGTAAATGCTTATTCCCTTCCCTTCAAAGTATGCACATTCAATTTTTCGTAGTTTGTCTTCCTTATCAAGATATAGTTTGGCAACCTCTGCTTCCTTATTTCCTAGGCTCAATGTCAAAAGCCCAGTAGCTTTTTTAGATTACCATATTGCTTTGACTATGAGGCTACACCCTTAAAATGAAATCTCATTGAAAGAAAAAACGAAAACTCCCATAGACATTCACTGAAATAAAATTTTACACAAAGTTATTGTAAGGATACACATTTATTTGAAATATTTCTCTGGAAGGGACAGATACTCTTTGATCTGGCTCTGGCACAGTAGTAAGAGCATGATTCTGGAGCCAGAGGGCCTAGTCAAATCCCACCTCTGTCACTTACTATCTGGGTGACCTTGGGCAAATTACCTAACTTTTCCTTGGACCTCAGCTTCTTCATTTGTAAAATGGGGGTGGGGGAGTAGATGGATAGATGGCTTTGAAGGTCCCTTCTATTTTAAGAACTACAATTCTATGCCTTTTCTTTTGCTTTTATTTTCCAAGTCAAATAAACAATTCAGTGATCTCTTCATCTTTATTACGCTTACCATTTATTGAATGCCAAGAACTATTCAGCCTATATGAAGAGTGATTATAGGATACAATCTTCAGAAAAGCCAGATTTCGAGGAGGGTGGGAATTACTCCTTATATTCAGGCAACACAGTATCTTCTGGGCTATGGGCCAGCTTTGGGGAAAGTGTTGAGCCCTTTGCTAAATACCGAACCAAGGAATCTGGAGCTATGGGAATCTGGGTTACAATCTTTCTTCTCCCCAAAGGGAGATGTAGCCATTCCATTGCTTGACAGAGACAGTAGGGTATAGTGGAAAGGGCACTCTAAAGCGTACTAGGAATCAGGAGACCTAATTTCTAGACCTGGATCTACCACTAAGTCCCTTTCAGATCCTGGGTAGGTTATATAACTTCTCTGAGACTCTATCTCTCTGTCTCTGTGTCTGTGTCTCTGTTTCTGTCTCTCTCTCTTGCTCTATAAGATGGGAGTAAGAATACAATACTTATCTTGCTAACTTCACAAGGCTGTGGTGAAGATGAAATGATAAGGTAGTGAAAGTGTTTTGGAAAACATACAATGTGACACACATATGTAAGATATTAATATTATCCAAGCCAGTATGGTACCTCGTAAAACTAAACCTCTTTAGCTCCTAAAGAAGGAGGCTTGGTTTGAGATATCTGAGCCCCACTGCTAAGTCCCGGAGGCCAGAAATGGGTGAGTCCAAGAACTAAAAAATGCTACACGGTCAATTGTCCTAGAAGATACATCATAATGCTTTTGTGCCAACATTCTGGGGGCAGGGCCAACACTACTGTCTAGGTTCCCGCTCTCTGCCTCTCCCCTCTCCATTCCTTTCAAGTAAGTGGCTCAATTATAACCTCTGACATTTCTTTTTCTGGCCACCAGGTGTCAGTGTAGCATTGCAGTCTTATTTCCTTCTAGCCTGAGCAGGTATAAATTACTGGTTGATATTAGTATGAATTTTGTACGAAAAGGTCTGGTTTTTGGGGGCACATTTCTTGTAGGCAGCAAATGGCAGGCTTTTGTTTTCTTATCCATTCTGACATTTCCTTTGATTTTATAGGGTTGTTCATTCACATTTAAGGTTAAAACTTTAAGTTTGGAGTTTTTCTACATTTATTTCTTTTGTGTTTATTTTTCCTCTTATTATATTTTAAGTCAGTACTTTGTTCCTGTGATTAGTTTCATTGTATCTTTTTTTTTTTTGGAGAGGCAATTGGGGTTAAGTGACTTCCCCAGGGTTACACAGCTACTGAGTGTCTTGTGTCTGGTCTGAGACTAGATTTGAACTCTGGTCCTCCTGACTCCGGGGCCAGCGCTCTATCCACTGTACTACGTAGCTGCCCCCCATGATTAGTTTTGCCTATATTATTTTAATCCTACTCTGTTTCCACAGACTCTCAGCTTCCCTCTTCCCCCTCATTTGACTGTTCTCAGTTATTTTTAAAGTATTCATTTGAGGGGAGACTGTGGCTTGGATATTAACAATGATATTAGATACAGATTTGATGGTACAGTCTGGGAACCATCACATTGTGACATAGGAGCCCTGGAAAGCATTTGTCCATATGCATAAATCCCTCCTTCCTAGGGATGGGAGAATGTTGAGATGGAAGAAACCTTAGAAATCAAGGATGCCTTTGTTTACAGATGAAGAAGCTAAGGTCTCTTGAGGTAAAGTCATTTATTTGTCCAAGTTCACACAGGTTGATGATGCAGAATTTGAACTCATATCTTCTGACTCTAAATCCAGAATTCATTCACTCCCACTGGTACCAGTCTTTTCTACATTTCCCTTTGCACAAATCAGCTTATCTTTTCTGGCTTCTGGAGCTCCCACCTTTTACCCACCTGGCTTCTCTCCTCACTCATCCTAAAACCCTGACAAAACTTCAGGATCTAGGCGAGTCAGGTGACTCTGCTGTAGGGCCTGATCAAGGTAGAAAACTAGGGGATGTGGTCATAGCCGTGCGGCTTGAATGTGGAGTCAGAATGTCAGTGGATAAAGGAATGTCTTTTCATGTCAATCCACACTCTCTGGTTTTGTGCCCCAAGGGTTAACTAACCATGTCTCTGAGATCCTGGCCTGTGCCCCTGTAGAGGCAGAGCTGGTTATGTGAGGTATGATCATGTGAGCTAGAGGGACTTACTGACCTTGTGAGAGTTTTTCAGTTTGGGTGGGGGGCTGTCCCGGAGCCTCTTCATAGCTTGCACTGGAGAGTCGCTGAAATACGGGGGCTCCCCATCCACCATCTCAATCACCATGATGCCCAGAGACCAGATATCCACCTGTAGAAAGAGAATGAGTATCAGTGGCTCTCCTCTGCCGGTGCTCTTTCCTTGGCGACTCTCTGGGTAGGGATGGTGAGAGGCTGACTCAGGACAGGCTTTCTTCCATCTGCTGATAGAATTTCCTACAGCCAACTCATCAGTCAGCCACCTACAACTACTAAGTGACTACTTGTGTAGAATCTTATACTTGGCCCTAAGGGGAGAGAAGAACTGCACCCCTAGACCGTATCTACAACTACTTTGGACTGCTAACTCAAGCCTCCTGAGAACTGAACAAAAAGAAGAGGGAGAGATCACTTCAGCCTTACATCTCTCTTCCTGTTTAGCTAAATTACCAAGAGATGGCTAATATGGAAATATATTCTTCATGATTTCACATGTATAATTGATATCCTATTGCTTGCCTTCATAATGGATGGGGGAGGGACTGGAGGAAGAGAATTCAGAACTCAAATTTTTAAAAAAATGAATGTTAAAAATAAACATTTGTTTAAGAAAAAGAAGTTAACAAAAATAAGTAGATAGATACATTGCCATGAAAGAACAGCCCACTTCTAGAATGACCAGTGGGAAACAATGAAGAGGAATGGAGGAAGATCATAAATTTAGAGCTGAAGGGACTTTAGAGACCACCGAGTCTAACTTTTTTTAACAGATGAGGAAACTGGGGACCAGTGAGGTTCAATGACTTGTCCAGGGCAACATAATTTGGAAGTGTATAAGGCGGGATTTGAACTTAAGTCTTCCCAACTCTAAGTCCAGAGTCCTATCCACTACACCATGCTGCCTCAAGAGACCTAAAAGGGATTGGGTAGTGGCTATGGTAATATGGAAATTAGGGATTTGGAGGGGAATGAGGGACATTCTATGGTCAATAACCAAGGTGAAGTCATGAAGGAGAGGCCAAAATTAGAGCAGGGGCAAGTGGAACAACATTTAATAAGAGAAGGTGTGGGATGACTGTGAGTAGTGAAGAGTTACCTCGGTTGTATATGGAGACCTTGAGATCACTTCTGGAGCCATCCAGTAAGGAGTACCAACCAGGGACTTCCTTTTGGGAACATCTTTGCTGATCTGGGCACAGAATCCAAAGTCTGAGAGTTTTACCTGGTAAAGGAGAGGAAGAACACAGAAAGAACAAGATGGGGATGAGTGGCTGATTAGGAGATGGAAAGGCATCAGGAAAAGAAGAGAGGGTGCAATGTAAAAGACAGAGGAAAGTGGGAGCCTGGTATGTTAGACTGAGATGGAGAAAGTCAGAGGAGGGACCTACCCTTCCATCGAGGGTCAGGAGTATGGAGTCACTCTTGATGTCTCGATGGATGACACCCTGAGAGTGAAGGTAAGCGAGGGCTTGTAAGACCGATTCACTCACAGTAGCAATCTGTTCCTCGTTCAGCCTGCAGGTAGGAAGCGGGGTCTTAGCAGGGTTAGCTTTGGGGAGGGTTGCAGGGGGACAGAGGCATGGGGCTGAACCAGCCGGAGCCAGGTGGTCTATGACATCAGCCTCCTCCCATTTTTGGAGACTGTTTCTCTATCTCTAGATTCCCACGGCCTCACTCAGGGCAGGACAGCCTGGGCCCCATTCAAGCTAGCCCAGCGACTCAGGCCTGGATTTAGAGGAGAAAGACTACAATTCACTCTGCCTCTAGAGGGTCACTTTCTTACACTGGGCCTCAGTTTCACCATGTGTCAAAAGTGTAGCAGAGGTGGGGGCATGCACATGGGTGTGCATGGAGAGTCTAGGGAGTTGGAAGTTGGGAGCTGTGGGACGAGGGATGGCTAAAGAGCCCTGCGACTGGGCACATACCTGACTTGGGATACAATGTCAGTAAGGGCGCCCCCCTGCAGAAACTCCATCAGCACCCACAACTCTTCACCCACCAGGTAGCTCTTGTACAACTCTACCACGTTGACATGCTGATAATCTCTCATGATCACCACCTGTGGAGGCAGCAGGGAACATTGTGAGCGCCAGCGAGCCCGTCCCCTGCCGGAGGCTCCCCCAGGTTTCAGATTCCTGACCTTGATCGCACTCCCACTTATTCCCCAGAGAATCCTTTCTGGCACCCCTCCCGACGCCCTCCCCGGCACCTCATTAAAGAGCAGTTCCCGGCGCTGCTGTTTCCTCAGGTCCATCATCTTGACTGCCACCTGACGCCCGGAGTGCTTCTCCCGGGCCAGGCAGACGATGCCTGTGGAACCCTCCCCAATCTTCACGTAGCTCTCCAGCAGCAGTCGGGGGTCTCCTTGGTCCACCACCATCCTTAGGGCTGCCTTGAATTGTTCGTGGGTCACGATGCCCGGCTCCTCTCCGGCTGTCATGAGGGCCTTGGCTGTGGCGGGGTCTTGGGGCAGGTGCAGGTTGCTGGCGCTGGTTTGGGGGTGCCGGGTTCGGGGGGAGCCGGCAGGGGAGGGGCGGCCAGGGGGCAGGGCCGCTGCTGGAGCTGTCCGAAGGGACTTCTGGGGGCTGCTGGTTTCAGAGACGATCAGGTTATTGAAATCCCCCACGGACTGATCAGAGAGCAAAGACTGGGCCTTGGCTGACAGGCTCGGGGGAGAGTCTTTCTGCAGCGACCGGAAGAGGGAATTGGGCTGGATGGAGGAAAGGAGGAAGAAAGAGGAAGGAGATTTAACAGGAGCCAACTGGGCCTGTCTGGCCTGGGTTTAGGGGCAATAGAGGGCAGGGGAATGGATCTGACCTCTGAGGTTCCTGCCAGGCTCAGGAGCCCATCCGGGTGTCTGGGAGATGAACTGAACTGAGAAGCTTCTGCAAATAAGTGCTTTCGAATAAGCCATAGCCAAACCACAATTCTGGCCTGTAATAAGGAGGTAGAATAGTAGCTCTGCATGGGGGTGACTCTTCCCACCCCAGAGAAGACGGTGAAAAGCCACTTTCTTCAAGGGGCACCCCGTTGGCTGAATGAACAATAGCAAGGCCCCAGGGAGACCTTTGTGACAGAGCATTCTACCCCTGTGGGGAGCCAAGTCACAGGGAATCTGGGCTACAGATTACAGAAACCTGGCTGTCTCCTCTCCAGCTCCCTCCTCTCCCCCCACCCTACCACACACTCACAGAGGAGGGCCTGGCAAGGACACCCACGAGGGCTGCTGGGACTTGCCCCTCTCAAAACCAGGGCAGGGGAATGGGTGATTACTGAGCTATTGCTGCTGCTGCGGTCAGACATTCCCTTTTGGCAACGAGCAACAAGCAACTGAAATATTGTAAAAACAGTTGGGGTTTTCTGCCATGGGGGTGAAATAAAAGCGAAAGAAACATCTCCTGCTGTGGACCACCAGAGTGGGGAGTGGGATTCCTCAGACTTATTTCAACCCAATGTTTTCTCAGTAGTTCTTAGTAGTAGAGGGAAACTCAATGGTCTTTATTTCAGTCACCTAAAAGGGCCCCAAAGAACACCAAGCCCTCTCCAAGGGGTTAGAGATAAGACTCCACTCCCCTCGCTCTGTGATTAGAGGCAGCGAGGTGGTGTAATTGGATGTGATGGGCGGCTCCAGGGAGACCTGAGTTCAAGCGCTGCCTTGCACACTGACCACCGGCTATGTGAACCTCGACAAATACCTGATTTCTCAGGGACTCAGTTTCTGCATTTGTAAAATGAGGAGGGATGTACTTGGTGGTGTCTAGGGTTTCCTTCCACTCTAAATCTGTGATTCTATTATCGCAAGCTCAGAAAACTGAGAGGGAGACCCAAGTATGACCTTCCCCTGGGGGTTTTTCCTTTAGGAGAGGGTGATGGGCTTACTGTGTCTGCCTTTTGGCTAAGCCTGGTCTTTCTCCCTACTCCTTTGGGAGGAAGGAAAGGGGGGAACAATGGGATTCCTTAAACCTGTGTCCTTCCCTGCCACCTGGGGTTCCAGGCCTAAACAAAAGCGGTGAACAGTAGAAAGATCAAAGGACCTGGTCAGAATACCTAAGCTCATTTCCTATCTGTTCATCCTTGGACAAGCCACAACCTCTCTATGCCTCAGTTCCTCATCTGTAAAATGAGATGGTTTGAACTAGATGTCCTCTGAGCTCTCTCCTAACTCTAGACCTATGTTCCTGTGATCCTAGTTCAACCAGCTTATTTTATAGATGAGGGACATGAGAAACGAAGGGATCTGCCCAACGTCACATGGGAGGAAAGAGTAGAAGAAACCACATTTGAACCCCATACTCAGAATCCAAAGTCAGGGCTTTCGAAGAGGCAGAGCCAAGACTAACACTGAGTGTAGTGGACTGGGTTCAAATCCTGGTTCTTCTACTTACTACTTGTAGGACCTGGCAGCTTACTTCACCTATCTCAGTCTGTTTCTCCAGCTGTAAACAGAAGAGGTGGGGCAGCTAGGTAGTCAGGAAGCCTTGAATTCAAATTTGACCTCAGTCACTTACCGTGAGACCCTGGGCTAGTCACTCACAACCGATAGCCTCAATTTCCTATCTGAAAAATGAAGGAAATAAGCATTTGTTAAGCACCTACTATGTGCCAGGCACATGCTAAATGCTTTACAAATATCATCTCATTCGATCCTCACAACAACTGTGGGTGTTATTGTTTTCCTCATTTCACAGAGAGGTTAAATGACTTGCCCAGGATCACACCGCTAGTAACTGTCTAAGGCTAAATTTGAACTCAGGTCTTCCTCACTCCAGGCCCTGGACTTTATCCACTGTGCCACTTAGCTGCCTCCAATAAAGGCAGCTGGGAGTCAAATGTTCTGCAGACCTTCACACACTATTAAATGCAAGTTAGTATTACCCTCTTCAATAGCATCTGCATTTTAAAAGAGGAGGTAATGCTTATTAACCCAAAGTAATGAAAGAATATAGGATGAATAATAACTACCATTTATAAAGTACTTTGATGGTTGCGAAGCACTTTACATATATTATCTCATTTTATCCTCCCAATAACTCTGTGAGAGAGACTCTATAATCCCTATTTTACAAATTTTACTGGGGCACAGAGAGTTTTAGTGACTTGTCCAGAACTAGTAAGTATCTGAGGCAGAATTTGAACTCAGGTCTTCTTGACACCAAGACCAGCAATCTATCCACTGGACCATCTAATTATCAATTAAACTCCACGATGAAATTTCATTCCCTGGGGCCCTGGTTTGGGAAGGTATTTGTGGAATAGAGGGCTTTCCCATAGATCTCTAAAACAGAAAACAAAATCTCACCATATAGGCAAGTGCTTACTCTGTCTACTTGTAAACCCAGTCTGGTCCCTGAAGCAGGGCAAAGGTGCCCAGGAATGTTGACTAACCTCTATCTATCAGGTCCTGAGGGCTGGACTGTGACCTTTATTCAAAGACCTCAAAGCCAGGGCTCAAAATGAAGACTCCCACCTGTCTGACCTTCTCCTCCCGTGTGCTTTAGGGTCCCAACTCTAGTCTGGGCATCTTTATCGACAGGCCTTCATGCCTGGGATACTCTACCTCCTCATCTCTGCCTCCAGCTTCTTTCGCTTCCCTCCGCTCAAGCTACAATCCCACCTTCTCCAGGAAGCCTTTTCCTCTCTCCTTAATTCTGATGCTTTCCCTCTGTTGATTATTTCCAATTTATCCTATATATACTTTGTATATAGTTGTCTGCATATTGTCTTCCCTGTTAGATTGTGAGCTCCTGGGAAACAAGTGCTATCTTTCTTTTAGGGGCTTAGCATTGTGCCTGGCAAATAGCAGGTGCTTAATAAATGTTTATTGACTGACTGATAGACCTAGGCCATGAGAACTTTGTTTGGGAGTAGAGATGGGAGCCCCAGTCTGCCAGCTGATGCCTGTCTGGAAGCATCTGCTGACTCCCTGCAGAGCTACACCAGGGTTTGATAGACAGTGGGGGGAGAAGGGATGCTGGTTGTGGGAGGGCTGTTCCTGGCTCCTACTAAAATTATCATTTGGTAGAGGCAGAAAAAACTTCTAGAAAAAAAAATTTTTTTTTTCAGTATTAATCCATCTTCAGGTAGGTTTGAGCAATGTAGAATAATGGAAAAAACCATAGCTAGAGGGGCAGCTCTGGGCTCACTGTGTGACCAACAAATGGATCATTTCTGGTCACTAAGCCTCAGTTTTCCTCATCCCAATGAAAGTGCCCAGGGCTGCCTCCCACCCCCAAATGCACATACACATACAGAATACAGGGGCGTGTAGCCAGGGCTGGGGGGAGATCTCAGACACTATCTAGTTCAACCCCGACATGTAGAGAAGAGAAGAGAAAAACTGAGGCCCACTGCTTTGCACAAGGTCCCCTCTGTAGTGAGTGACAGAGTCAGGATTCCAGAGCTGGGTTAGCTCAGCAGAGGCCAAAGTCAGAGAGCACTTTCCGTTGTGCCGTGCTGCTTTCCTCAACCTTTCATCTAACTAGCTCTGGACTTGGGGGTCAGAATATCCAAGTTCTATCCCTGGCTTACCTGCCTAAGTGCATAACTTTGGGCAAATCATTTTGGCTCTCAGGAACTCAGTTTCCTTATCTGTTAAAGGAGAGGTGGGACTAGGTGATCTCTGTGGTTCCTTCCTCCCAGCTCTAAAGATCCTACTCAAAGCCTCTGAAGGGCAAAACCAGGAAAAGGACAGTTCTCAGCTTAGAGCCCAAGCCAGCCACACTCACTCTCATACTATGCTTTATTCTATGGAGATCACTTCCCAGCAGCCTTCTCTCCCTGGAAAATGCTTTTAGCCCCGAGGGCCCCTCCTCTAGGAACCTCCATCTGAGGATGTGCCAAGCAGCCAGGCTTCTGGCTCCCCTCCTGACTCTCCTGGAATGTTTTCCCATCCCCACACCCTTCCCCCCTCACTCTTTTTATTTCTCTTTTATGTGCTGTCTTCACCTCTCTTGTTCTTCACAATGTCTTCTCAAGCAGAGCATTTTTTGCTTTTCTTTATATTCCCATTTTCTTTATATTCCCACTGCTTAGTACAGTTCTTGGCTTATAGTAAATGCTTAATAAATGCTCTACCTCTCTCTATCTCTGTCTCTTTATCTATGTACCTATGTATATCTATCTCTATGAATCTCTTTGTCCCTTTCTCAATCTCTGTTTCTATCTCTCTGTCTCTCTATCTACATATATATGTATCTATACCTCTGTCTGTGTCTCTATTTCTGTATCTCTGTCTCTATCTGTACCTATCTGCCTACATATATGTATACATACATACATACTTACATGCATACACATACACATACGTACATACACACACACACATATATGACATAGCACTGGGCTTAGAATTAGGAAGACTCATCTTCCTGAGTTCAAATATGGCCTCAGACACTTACTAGCTGAGTGACCCTCGGCAAGTCACTTAACCCTGGCTGCCTCAGTTTCATCGTCTGTAAAACGGAGAAGGAAATGGTGAACCAGTATCTTTGCCAAGAAAATCCCAAATGAGAACACAAAAAGTCAGACATGACTGAAACTATATATACATATACATATATATATATAATATACATCTGTTTCATATCATCATGTATACACAAACACACACACATATGTGTCTGTCTCTGTATCGATTATCTATCTATCCCAGCTGGTGATGTTATGGGCAAACAAATTGTTTGGTCCTACCCCAGAGGTGGCTGCAAGGATGGGCATGAACATATCCCAGGAGCTAAGAGGAGTTATACTGGCAAGATCAAGTCGACATGCTTGAGCTGAGACCTTCCCCCACATGTGGGGTAGTCCTCTAATCTCACGATGAGAAAACGCAGGATTCCAAAATCTGTCGGCTGGCAAGTACTAGAATTACCATCCTGAGATCTGGCTTTCGGGCCTCAGTCATCGGTTTGCAATGAGCACGTGGAAGAAAGGAC